AGTATATGTATATGTATATGTATATGTATACGTATATGTATAGGCATATATATATATATATATATATATATATACATATATGTGGCAGCGTGGGTGTTGTCATCTGTAGGTTTATTCGACTCGAGTGTGGACTAGGTGCGTGCGTATGTAGTCAATGTATGTGGGTGTGGGGTTGAGTATATTGACCCTGTTAGGTTTGTGCTTGTGCTGAGATTCTTTTCGCGTCCGCTTGTCGAGAGTGTGTGATCGATCATTGCGTTGGAGGATATGTGAGCGTATTGTGTGTGTACGTCCCACATTGTGCACAAGTTGAATAGGTGCAACACCTACATGAACTATGTGGACATACATGTATACGGCTGAGAGGCTATGTATGTAGACTTTTATGTTTATGCGCATATGTAGTGTACATGCGTGGCTATATAATGATGTCTGTATATGCTATGTACGTGTGTACAATTCAAGGCCTATATAACAAAAACTTCGTTGTTTTCGTCCCGAAAACGACCAACACTGATCAAGAATCCAGATTCGAATCAGGACCAAACCAAATACAACCTTACAATCACAATTACAAAACGAAAACTAAAATTTGGGTATACTTCGGAAATCAGGGAAGCTTCACAGAATTGGATGCGGCACGCATCGTCCGGCAAATGGCAGCGGCGGTAACCTATCTGCACCAAAACGGGATTTGTCACCGGGATCTCAAACCGGAAAATATACTTTTCGCGGGAAAAGAAATGGATTCCGATATCAAAGTGGCCGATTTTGGGTTGTCAAAACTAACTTCGGACGAATCTACACTCAATACGGCGTGTGGTACACCTAACTACGTCGCGCCGGAGATTCTGCGCCAGCACGGGTGAGTATATATATACGTATACCTATACTTATTCCTATACCTATATATATACACATACACATACGTATACCTATACATATATGCGTCGACACATGCTGTGTGAGTATTGCACACACTTGGTGCACAAGCAGCACGTATTAAAGCAGCATCCGCGCATTTCCATATACATGCGCATGCACACTCACACAATCCGTCCCCTTTCGCTTTGTTTCATTACCTGTTTGCCCATTAAAGCTACGGCAAAGAGGTGGACATGTGGTCCATTGGCGTCATTGCGTACATTCTGCTGTGCGGCTATCCGCCTTTCTACGATGAAAACGATGCACAACTCTTCCGCAAGATTATGAAGGGTGACTACGAGTTCACCCATGGCTGGGATGAGATCTCGTCTTCTGGTAGGTTCATATATATATATACGTATGCATTGTGTGTACGCAAAATGCAGTATACGTGGAGTTACACGGGTTTTTGTTTGATATATATATATACATATCATCCAGCAATGTATTGAATACACACTGCTCCTTCCCCCATCACAGCCAAGTCCCTGATTGGTGCGTTGCTGCAAGTGGAGCCCTCTAAACGCCTGACGGCTGAGCAGTGTCTGGCCCATCCGTGGGTCACTGGCAAGACAGCTCGCAATGTCAACATCAGTCAGTCCTTCAGCACTAACTTCCGCGCGTACAGTGAGAACTTGCACCACAGAGGCGCCAAGGGGGGTCAATAGATCACTCCGGGGGGTTCGTGACATAGGCCTTCTTTTTATCAATCGTGCATGAGGTGCTATGTGGTGGTATGATTGCGAGGCATCTATGAGACACCATTCTGCATACGCTGTTTGTATGTATGTGTGTAGGCAAGCGTATGTGTGTGTGTGAGAGAGCGAGTGAGGGATCATAAACGCATATAACCTCATGTGTGAATAGGCTATGGAGACTGACGTTTACGTTCATGTTCGGGGTCGTTCAGTACTCCCAAGTCTTGCGTGGTGCGCGCTATAGTATAGTGCGTGTTGCGTTGGTATCTGTGGCAAAAACTTTAGCTTTGCATCTTGTGCCCATGGGAAGAAGACTGGAGACCAGGCACTATTGCAAGGAGTGTAGGCTGGGTGTGGTGCAAGCGGACGAGAGTGGTGTTGCTATGGCAACCGAGAGTATACACTCAGGTGGAGATCTGAGCAGAACGAGTGGATCACGCACGGTATATGTGAATTTGATTGGGATGTGAATAAATAAATACTATGCTGCATTACGAACACTGTATTTATTGCGCTTAGACATCCCCCCAAAAAACTTAGTTGCTTTGAATTCAAAAAATAATATCATATCAATCCAACTAATACCAAAGTGCCGCTTAAGTCACAGCACAACTTGTTGACTGGATTCCGTCTCTCATAGTGTGAGTGTGATATGCGAAATGGTAGGCTCACTGACGTATGGAGCCATTTAGGTGAACAACGGCAATACAAGCATCTACGAGCATGCACGTTATACCCACAACACAACCCAATGCACAGTAGCACGCACTCATGGTAAACTTATACAGGCGAAGTAGTCCGGTGAACTAGACAAGGTAAGTGTTGGTATTAAAGTAGTCAATGGAACCAGACAAGGTAAGTGTTGGTACGGTATCGCTAACTGTGTGACTCATCAGCCGAGCATCGGGTGAGGCGTCAAATCCGGCGTATACGTTTACTGTTTCTGATGTTGCCGTTCCAAATGCCACAACGCTGCAGTTCGATAATAGTCCCATTTCTAACACCTGTATCGCCCAGTAGCTGACTGATATGGTATGACAGTCTTCTCAGCAAATCCGATCGATTTGTCCTAATTTTATTTTCGGCAAGCTATCGTCTGTTTTTCGTCGTAGTATAGTGCAGCCTCAGCTCTAGAGCATTCTTTACCTATTTCTCAAATTGGTACCATTCGATTTCCGGTCTATTCATTCTTGATTTTATCTCGTCGCCACTTCAACAGCCGACCGGAATCGATGCTTTTGTACATTTCCCATTTATATCCCATTTATCGCAGCTACAGCCCCCCATGCCCAGCCACAGCCGCTCCCCTCAATTGTATATACTACAGTCTCATTGCGAATGCGTCTCTCGGGTCTGTTTCTAGCGATGAACTCTTTAGTTCCTATATGAAGAAGTGATAACCTGCCAATATAATAGGGTGTTCCTGGAGCAGAGTACTTGCCTGCCTCAACTGGAGAACTATATCGCACTAAAAAGTCAGCCTAGATAGGGTACAGAACTTCTCATAGATGTACATACCACACTCGTGCATAGAGGTAGAGATGTACCGGTTTCATCTGCACAGATGAGTGTCAGTAGGGTGCAAACCTTCATATACACAGACATACTGAATAAAAAGACACGTGGTGTATGACACACATCTCTACATGTATGTGTAGGGAGCAGTTTCATGGACACTCCGTGGCAGAGGTGTCGGGCTGTGCCCAGTTGTTATTTCGTCACGTGTTGATTAGTGATGAGAAAGTGAAGGCTGACTCACGCGTTATTTCGTCGCGTGTCGCTTAATGATGAGAAATTAAAGATTAACTGAGACGTTATTTCGCCACGTGTTGATTAGTGATGAGAAAGTGAAGGTTAACTCAGACGTTATTTCGTCACGTGTTCTTCAATGATGAGGAAGTGAAGGTTAATTCAGACGTTATTTCGTCACGTGTTGTTTAGTGATGAGAAATTGAAGGTTAACTCAGACGTTATTTCGTCACGTGTTGTTTAATGATGGAAAATTGAAGGCTAAGGCAGTGGCCACTAAATTGGAGTCCAGATTCCAGAAATCACAAATCAGTATGTTGGCTGGTATGAAATGTCCAGGAAGTGAATGTATGGCTCCGAATTCGGCCCTAACATCCGCTACAAATTCGGCCAGTCTGTAGTGGCGGAAGGAAATAAGAATGAATCAGAATAACGCGCAAAATTCGACTTGTAATCAAACACATGTGTAAAAATATGTATGTATATATGGTTGCATGTCGATAGAACTTATTCTCATACGAACAGCAGAAGTTATATATATATATATATATATATATATATAGTATACTACACACACAACAACACACACACACACACACACACACACACACACAACAACACACACACTATATATATATACTACACATAATACTATATTATACTACAGTAGTTATTAGTTAGTATTAAGTAGTTTAGTTAGTTGTTTAGTTAATATATATATATAG